TTTTGATTATTCGAAATTTTATTTTTGGCTGCAGTTGGCAAATTTCTTGCAATTTACCTGACAATCCGATATAATCTAGGAACTCTATGCGAGTCGTGAAAACGCGCGGATGCTGCAACTGCTCCCGAGGTGAAGGTATCCACGTGAAAAGTGGCGATTCAGCGTGACCATCGACGGACCGCCACCGCGCAGTACGCAATGCACGCGGTAACGACAAGTTAGCTAAGTAGTGCAAGCGTAAGAGAGTGCTCGGCTCTAGAGGTCAGTAACCACTCGCGATCGCTTCGTTCCGTTCCGGTTACCCGCTCCAGCACAGCATGGGCAACCTTCTCCCTAGAACTTACTTATTAGCGTTTTCGCATTCGAAGCAAACGACGAGCTATTCCGTCCAACTTTTTGCATCACAGAAGTTCGCCCTACGTTGTATAATGACGTTAGAACGTTCTCTTGCGGCACCGTTATTCGAATGCGATAAGTATCGTAAGTCCCCATTTACGCAGTCCTTCCGAGGGAACTTTCCCGGTCCCAGGAAAACGATTAGAGTGCAATTTTGCATTTTATAAGTAACAAGTTTGATTTTTTTATAGATTACATGTAGATATATATTTTTGTATAAATTAAGTACAGATATATATATATATATATATATATATTTTTTTATAGATTAAATGTAGATATATACTGTATATATTGTATGTTCAATGAAAAAGAACTGTGTGATTGATATTTTTCAAGTATCTCAAGTAATTTATCTTTCGTGTGGAGATGATGTAACGATAATGAGTTTTTAGCTTGACTTTAGTCAACTGAATGAAGCATGATTCTCTCCTCTTTTATTAACAGATATTTTTAAAAATCTAGCTCTTAGCAACCGTGACTTTCTTTTCAATGGAGGATGCACTAACATTCTCAGAGCTCCAATTATCAGATATACCTATCTTCTTACTTTTTACGGAACGCAAGGCTTTAACATTAATTCAATTCACCCTCCGATTGCATTCATTCATGATAACATCACGTAACAAGAAGATATTTCAATCGCGCAATCTTATTCTTCGAACAAGTCGAGTTCGCACTAATGAAATGCAATTCGGAGTATAATTATCGACCATGAAAAAATTAATTGAAGAACAAGGGAATGTTGAGAAATTACGCCTCAAAGCAGCGACATTCCATCCGCGAATCGATCAATGATATTCCGTTACTGTGCGATTTCCTGTTCTAATCGCATCCTCCTTCCACGAGTACCCATCTTATTCTTGCTACCCAAAGTGCTCTTGGATGGTGATTGATGTGAAACGATGGTCACGGATTATCTTAAATCATCACGTTTTTCTCTCTTCAGAGATAAGACAGCACTTACATTAAAAAATATTCTTACCTACGTAACAATAAATTTATAAATATTTCCTAAATTTTTTTTATTACAATACATGCATCATATATTGCAATACAAATTTACATTACAAATTTAATAAACAAAAAAATTAATTTGTGATTTCAAATAGCAAGAACTAACTTAACGAGTTGCACAAAAAAAGTTGCAAATTCGAGATTGCTATAAATTTACTCCTAATTTTTTCATACCTTATACTTCAATATCTTTTCAATAAAAAGTGACTATTTTTATTAAAAACTAATTCGTCATTATTTAGGTACATGATTCCAGGGAAACGGAATCCAATTTCGAGAAACTCGCTAAACTCATAATTTTCGAATTTATATACTATATCAGTATCTAATTATAAATTCATTATATTACACAACTGAATTTACGTCATTTCTCAAATAAAAATATTCTGTATATTGTTATAAAATGACCTCACTACGTCATACGTATTATGCAACTCGGAACAATCATATGTTATAGATTTATAAATCGGATAGAATTGGTTTCGTTGGTCATGCAAGGAATTATACGTAGGCGTCGACTCCGGAGACTTCAATGCTAGATAGGAGGACTCTGTGAGCGCGAAGCTCAGCAGATGCCAATGAAGCCATAGCCATATCTCTGTATCCATTCGTATATTCGCAAGGCTGGTGTTTTTTGTGCTAACGCAAAAAATATGGACGGCACAAAATCGACGCTCTTCAACTGGAAAGCAGTTTTATCGTAATCATGACGATCGGATCTGTACAATATAGTACCTCTCGGCTACATTGCGGCAACATTGAACTCTTACAAATTATGGTATAATATTGCAAAGATATTACAGAGGAATTGCAAAGTACAAGGTTGCAACAATATTGCAGTAACGTTCGTTATATCAACGATATCTCGTAAGCTTGATAAGTAAAATCTATGCAGCAAGGAATGCAGCGATAAAAGTGAGGATTATGATTCATTGCAGTTTTTCAATTAATTAATCTGTGAATTAAATATATCAGTCAACTATGTACGTTAAAGTTAAGAAAACCTTAATTTGAACAGTTATTATCTAGAAAATAAGGACAATACGTTCTCAAATTCACATCGCATTTAATTAAAATTCAGTGTAAATTAATGATACTCAAACAATAGATAACTTGGATAATTTACTTATTATTTATGATTACTACTAAAATATAATTCAAAGAATTTGTCATTAAAATTAAGATTGAAATCTAAATAATATAAAATAAGCTTTCCATATTCAAGAATTTTATTTTATACCTTAATAGTTTTAAATTATTTATTATAGTATAAAAATTCGATTAATTTCGCGTTTTCGAGATAACATCTCATACAATATTCCCTGCAATTATCTATTAATATATATAATATAATCCGTTTACGAATCATCAGAAATTTGAAATTACCAAGATTAAACTAGTAAAGTTAAATTATAATTATTTTTTTTTTTTTTACAACGGAGAGAATACCGATTATAATAAGAATCATCTTATTTAGCGATCGGTTATTACCGGAAATGCAGACGAAATCGAGAGGGCCACTTCTCGCGCGTCGTGGAAGGTAGTTAAAAACAAAACCGTAATACGTTGATCGCCGTCGTTATCGGTCATCTCCATCTCATCAGCGGTCATCAGATTCCCCGTCGTTGCCCCTCGGCCGTTAAGAGATCCAGGGACTGATGGCACGAATACTCGGAGCAGCTCTGCTGTCCGCAGGATTTTTGTAAGCAAAATTGATGCAAATATAATCACTGGGAATCGGACAACTTGTATTTTCAGGTATTTTCGGAGGTCAGTAACCAGAAGGAATGGAAAAGGTGCATACGAACACTCGGAGGGACTGTTGTAGATCGTCGATATACGGCATCTTGAAAGAAAAAAATTCTCTTAAATAAAATCCACTAGCGAATATGATGATGATCATTGACTTGTATTTTCGGAGGTCAGTAACCAGAGAACATGGAAGGCATGCTTGTCCGCCGTTCATAAGGAGGGAGACGGAAGAAGAGACTTACACGCGTATATACGCTCGAGGTAGACTCCAAAGAGGACAGAGGAAAATGTACGGGATGGAGGGGATGTAAGGAGAGAGAAGGATAGGAAGACGGAGTAAGAGGTCGAGAAAAAGAGAAAAGAAAGGATGAATTAACAGACAGGGAAAAGGATAGAATGAAGAATAAGGCAGGATACATAAGAGAGAGAGAGAGAGAGAGAGAGAGAGAGAGAGAGAGAGAAGATGTGGAGTAGGAGACAAGTAAAAAGAAGTAAGAGATAGGGAAAGGGAAAGAAAGAGAGACAGAGTAGAACGCATGGAAAAGAGACTAGGAAAAGGAAAGATGAAGTGAGAGACAGAGGAAAAGAGGCAAGGAGAGACAGTACAGGGAAGGTGAAAGAAGAGAGAGGAAAGACAGAGTAAGAAAAGAGGAAAGGTAAAGTAAGAGACAGAGGAAAAGAGAGGAGAGAACGTTAGCTCCCACGGAAGAAGAGAGATGAATCGAAGAGAAGATGGAACGAAGAATGAAACGAAACGAGTCGGTGATGATGAGCACGAAAGAAATTTTTCTCAAAGTTTAAATATTTATTAATAAAAGTCTGGAGTCTGGAATTTCCTTATAATATTCTTCAATATTTTTTTGGCGTCTTCTTCTGCGCTCGGAATGCTGCAAATCAATCATTTTATTCCGTGTTTGTGTGTCATTGAGCAAAGACTGAAGAGCAAAGGCCTGTAAATGAGGAATTTGCTTTAACGTGATAAAAAATATAAAAAAATAAAAAAAAAGTTGGACGCTTTAGAGGGTGGAATCTAAGAATAAAAGGATATGGAAAAGTGTGAAAGAAAACACAGCGGACGATTAGAGAGACTGAGGGCACGGTAAGGAGGACGAGAGGGGTTCATCGCAGGCGAAAGGGAGACGAGCATGAGGAGGATGAGGTGTAAGAGAAGGTGAAGGAGGCGAGTGATAGCGTACACACGGGAGAGAAGAACTCGATGCCGAGCGATGCTGAAACGGGGGTGGGGAAGAGTACCGTTGCTTCTGTCGATGGGGAATGTCGGCGTGCGCGCACGAACGAAACGAATAACCGCCTGTATACCGCGGCGAGTACCAACCTGGACGGGACGGACGAGGAAAGACAACGTTCGCACGGAGGAAGAAAAGAAGGAACACGGACGAACGTTCGTACCAGCAAGTGAGCGAGCGAGTGAGTGAACCAACGAAGGAGCCGAGAGGCAGCACGAGGTGTTCACCGCGTGGCCGTAAAGAGAGAACAACCAACGCCGAGAGAATCAACGGCCCATCGTCGTCATCGCGACTCTGCCTCCTCTTCCTTCTTTAGTCCCCTCGCCGGTTCCCTCGTGTATACATATACACACACACACAA